TTCTTACTGGGTTTTGCATCCCTGGTGCTCTGACAGCTCCCCGGCAGCTCCCCAGCCTCACACCCAGCCCCAGGGCCAACCTGGCAGGGTGGGCGCTCGCCCCCGAGCCCCTCGCTGAGCGCGCCCGCCGTGTGCTCGCCCCGCGTCGCCTGCGTGACACGGACGCTCTGCGACTCGGAAGTCTGAACGCTACTTCATGTGGCAACAGCCATGTTTTGTTTCTTTATTTATTTTTCACAGGCACTTGATGGGGGATGAGGAGGGGAGGGTTTAACGAGGGTTTGCAAGGTTGTTCCTTGCCTGAGGCTGAGCCGCGTGCAATCATCACGTCTGACTTGGATTTTTCCGTTTGTCTTTGGGCTCCCGTTGCCGAGCTGGGGTGACCTTGGCAGCGCTGGCTGCGGTGGCTCTGCCTCGGCCACCCTGGTCCTCCTGCCCCAACCCATCGCTGCTGAAGTGGCACCGAGGACTCCAGCCCGGGCAGAAAACGGCGCTGCCGGGCCAGCACGGCACGGTGCCCGGCCCCACGCACCCCAGCGGACGAGCTGCTTGGTGATGGGGTGGGCGTCTGACTGCAGCCACACTCGCTCGGGTGCCACTCAGGGCAGGGTCGTGCACCTACTGCGGGGGGACACCCCAGTGCTCTCACCTGGCTGCTTTGGCAGCCACCAGCACCTCCAGCTTGGCCACGGGACGTCCCCTCCTTGTCCCCCAGCCCAGCTGCTCCCAGCACGCCCCGGGTGCGGGAGCTCAGTGCGGGGCCGTGGTGGGTGATGGCCACGCTTACCCTGGGCACCTGTGGGGAAGGTTTATTCCCCTGCAGAAACACCAGGTTGGAGTGGGTTTTGGCAGTGTAAGACTTGTATTTAAGGGCACCAAAAGAAGCCCATGCACAGGTAGAAATGCCCCTGCTGCCCTTGGGGCTATCCCTTTGCTCTTTCTCCAGGTGACAGGAGCTGTGCTCATTCCTGGTGGGATGGTTGGTCCTGTCTTCACCTCGTTGGCCCAGGAGGAGTCTTCACCTCTGCTCGTCATCAAACCTTGGCAGCGCAGTACATGGTAGGTGGCCCCACAGGGCAGCTGCACCAAAGCCCCGTTGCCACTAAGAAGTAGGGCTCTGTTCTGGTCCTGTTTGGGATCCCGGCAGTGCATGCATGCCCTTCATCACCAGACCATCATCTTCCTCCTGGAATCACTCCCTGCTCACAGCGCGGTGCTCGGGCAGGGCCGAGGGGACGATGCCCTGCTCCCTCCTGGGGGGAGTCCCCGGGAATCTCCTTGCTTTTCAAGCCTTTGTCGCACATCAGGTGCTACCCCATTCCCAGTCCCAAGTAGAGGAGAAAACCAAACCTAATTACATTTTAGAGGTGGCCTAGATTACCGTGATATTTTCTTCTCTGGCAAGAAAAAGGGATGCAGGGAAACAGCTGAAAAAAAAAAGAAACAAAGCCAACTAGGAGCCCTAGGAAATTAAAACGCCTGTAGTAGGGATCACCAGTCACACGGTGTCCTCCGAACTCCGTTTAGCTCCAGTGCTGCA